GAGACCAGTGCCCTGCAGGACCTGGGCGGCATTCTGCAGCTGGTCTCTGATCGCAGGGAGCGTGGAGGTTAGCCCAGTGGGGAGAGGGGGGACTAACCCCAGGAAGGGAAGGTGCAGCTCAGCCCCCTGAGGGAGGCCACAGAGAGAACCCACAGAGGGAGGGGGATGGTGGCTAGCCCGCAGCAGGAGGGGCGCAGGGGGCTCACCAAGGCATCTTGGGCCTTCTTGAAGGCCTGCAGCTCCCCTGGGGACAGAGACTTGTACTGGGTGAGGTGGCAGCCCCTTGTATTCAGGGGGGCCCTGCTGGGTGGTGGCGTGGGAGCCGCTCCTGTCACGGTCAGCAAGGGGGCCATCAGCATCAGGGCCAGCAGGGAGCCCACAGCCATGTCTGTGTGAGGGAGGAAGGCAGAGGTGAGGGGACTGGGAGACCAGGTGGGGACCGTGGGGGCTCAGGGCGGGTGAGGGGCACGGGTCCTGACAGAGGGGGGTCACCTCGCTTCATTTCTGCTCTGCTGTCCGTCAGGAGGAGCGGGTCCAGTGGCTGCTCTGTGGCTGTCACGGGGCTGGGGCTGTCTGTCTGTCGCTGGGTCAGGTCTGAGGCTCTGACCTGGGCCTCCTGGTCTCTGGCGGTGTCTCTGGATGGCAGCTCCCCGTGGGCCAAGACACCTGCTGTCGGAGCCCCATGGTGCTGCTTTTAACCTGCAGGAGCCGGAGAGCCCACTGATGTAGGAGAAGTGAAAGCAGCCACAGGTTGACACTGTACACGGAATCCCCACCCTGGGGACACCCAGATGGGCGTGGCCCAGGTAAGAGCATGATGTCACAACCGAAAGAGAAATTGACACTGGCTCTGAGCATTCCAGGCCGCCTCCAGGAAGAGGAGGTCTGAGCAGGAAGCCCTCACCTGGGGCAGCTGAAGCTGCCCTGAGGGGGTCCTGCCAGGGCTGGGGCCTGGCTGGGGGAGGAGGGCTCTCCTTCCACAGGCTGCTCCAGAGGGAGAGGCGCTTCTGGGAGAGGCTGGAGCTGCTGAGAGGGAAGGAGGTTGCTGAAGGTGAGGAGAGACCAGAAGCCAGACAGGCGGACACAGCCCAGGCCTGACAGAGGAGACCAGCCGTCCCCCACCTTTCTACTCCTGATGCTGGGGGCAGGAGTGGGGGATGGGGAGGGGACAGGGTGTGTGTGTGTGTCTTAAAATCCTGAGCCAGTCAGCTAAGTCCACACTGAGGAAGCACACCAACCAGTGTTCTCAAATAATTACTAACAATAAAATTCAAGACCCGAGGAGGGAACTGTATCACAGCTTAAGTTCGGAGGCCCCAGTGTGCAGAAAGCTAAGGATGACAGTCAAAGCCCCAAATCCATGTACAGAGTCCCCACATGGGTTAAGTCTCCACTGAAAATTCCCTGTGTCCGTTGACTAAGGGTATGAATAGCCTTGTCCCCTGAGTGCATCAGAATGTGGAGTATTTAGGGTAATATTTAAATCTTACCATGTGTTTTTCCTTTTAACCATTTTCAACTTATCCTATTTTTTATTACATTCTGCTATCTCTTAAGTCTAGGTTCTTCTGTGTTTTATTCTGTGGTAGGTGTTGGTTGTTTTGCTGCTGTTGTTTCTTTTATCTATTTTTTAATTGGATGGTTTTTCTATGAAACTCCGGGTAGGTAAGTCTATAGAGACAGCAACTAGATTATTAGTTTCTAGGGGCTACGAAGGGAGATCGGGGAGAAAGGGAGAGCTAATAATAATGGAGAGAAGAATGAAGAATATGTTCTCAAATTGATTAGGAAGATGAATGCACAACTGTCTTTAATACAGGTGTGACAACATAATCTGTAGTCAATTTGAGACTTACGAGTGAAGGGGTGGGGTTTTGTCTGTCAATCCGGTCGCAGCTTGATGACTTCATTTGGAGGTACTAAAGAGATAAATAGCTCATTGGAGGCGGAACACACACTCACTCCCTGGGAGACATTGCAGCTGCCAAGACACATGGAGCTACCTAGTGCACTGAGCTGGAGGAGCCACATAGGGACCCCTGCCAGCGCCGAGATGCTTCCACTGCCACTGGGTCCACAAGACTTTCCACCCACTGACCTGTGATCTTTCTGCATTCGGCATCATTGCATGGCTGTGTGAATCTAAAGAGGATTTTATGGACTAGTATTGAGCATATGGACTAATATTGGACTTATGGACTTGATTTGGACTGAGCTAGGATGCTTTCTTAATGTACAATTACTCTTTTATATAAAGCTCTTTCTTACACACACACACAAACACACACACACAGACAATCCTGAGCAATAAAAGACTTTGGAATTGAGTCATGATCAAGGACTTCCAGGGGAGCAGGTAGGTTTGGGAAACCTCATTCATTCATTTGTTCATTCAACAAGTGCTTGTTCAGCCCCACTGTAGCAGGCAGTGTCCACAGTGGCAGGGACAGAGCTACCAACACACACAACAAAGGGGTGAGAAGGATACTCTCTGGGGGACCAACAGGAAGCCCAGATGTGGTAGCAGTGTGCCTTCCATCAACTGGCTCCAGCCAAGGAATTTGAGAAAAGGCCTGAGGGAGGGGGGATGGCGTCAGGTGAGGATCAGAGGAGAGAACTTTCCAGACAAAGGGAATCTGAACCCTAACTAACCCACCGCCACCAAGTCCGTTCGGAATCGCCGTGAGCCTGTGGGGCAGGGTAGAGCTGACCCTGCCTGAGGCTGAAGCTGTGTGTCTTCAGAGAAGTGGAAAGACAGTTTTCTCTCCTGGATGTCGGTGGGTTGAAGCCACTGACCTTGTGGTTAGCCGCCCCACAGGGGACCCCGGGCTCCTGCCCAGGGGCTGGCCAGTGCCAAGTGCAGACACACATTGGCTATGGGGCTTCCCCCACAGTGGAGTGCTGACCAAGGGAGACTGCGGTTTGCCTACATTGTCAGTAAGTCCAGGACTGTAGTGGCCCAGAGAGGTTCAGACACCTGCCTAAGGTCTCAGAGCCTATGAGTGGCTGCTGTTGGAGGGACACTCAGGTAGCACACGGTCTCTCTACCTGCCTGTGCCCTGCTGGGAGGGCTCCGGGACCCAGAGGGGATGGGTTCTTGGAGGCAAGACTATGCAGAGATCTCCTGGACACTGGGCTCCTACCCCAGTCCCCTCTTTTCCTCACAAGTCTGATAGCTGACTGTTTCAGCGCCAAGAGCAGCCCAGGCTCAAACCAAACGCTGCTGTATTCCTCAGTTTGGACCCAATGGCGGGGCCCTTAACACAGGGCAGCAGAAAACTCTGCCAACCAAGACCAGACTTGACAAAGACGTGTCGCAGCCCTGCAGGATGGAGCAGAACTGCCCCGCACCCTGAGTTCCCAAGGCTGTGAATCTTCAGGGAAGCCAATTGCCACCTCTTTCTCCCAAGGAGCATCTAGGAGAGCTTTAGCATCCAAGCCTCGTAAGCACCCCAAAAGCCCCCTGCAGGAGACTGTCCACCTCAACAAATGCTGCACATGAACACCGTGCCTCAACGTGCCTCAACGTGCCTCAACACCAGAGCTGTTTTCCTTAGAAAGGAAGTTGGGCTGCGGAGCTGAGAGCAAGCACCCTGGAGACAAAGGCTTGCCCTCACTAGCTCTGTGATTTGGGACCGACACGTGCACACAAGCACCCAACCCCCTGTGCTCAACCGCTAACCCACAAGTTTGAATGAAAAAAGGAATAGACAATTGTGTATGTGCACCCATATGTATCATTGTTCACACCGAATTGCATGAGATGTGCTTTCTGTGTAATTGCTAACATACAAGTCATAGATGTGCGCGTGTGATTACCTAAAGGAGACCTTTTTCTGGGCCCGGAGAGCAACACTTAGGAAACATTGTTTCAGCATTGTTACTCATTGACCGGGAGGTGGAAGCATGCAGTGTATGGCTGAGAACATTCAGGTTCAGAGCCAAGTCGTCTACAGCCAGTGGCACTATGACTGGCTGGGGCAGGATTGAAACTCGGCACACAGATTTCCTAGTCTGGCCTTTTTTTAATTAAATATATAAATAAAATGCTTAGTGGGCCCCAGGGGAAGGGTGAAGGGGTCCCGAGCAGCTCCGTTGTCCGCGTAACAATCCCAACACCCTTTGTTGCCCATCGTGGTCACCCTGCCCACACGCTCGTCACTTCTCCAGTTCCCTGTCCATCTGTCCCCTTATCCGTCCTCCTCTCCTCACCCCCTGAACTTTGTCCTGCGACACCTGCTGTCCTTTTGACCTCTATCATCGATCGGTCTAAGGCATGCTCCACTGATACGCTCCCCAGAAACTGGTTCAGCTTTTGCTGAAAATTGAGACCTGAGGTGAGTTTATTTTTAGACCTGAGGTAGGACCAGGGCCACAGGCTCCTGTGTGTGTGTGTGTGTGTGTGTGTGTGTGTGTGTGTTCCAACAGTCTCTCTGACCAGTAGGCCTGCTCTGGCCTTTATAATGAGCTTGTCGCTCAGCCTTCAATGATCCTGCACCTTAAAATGACCCTGCGGAAAAGCACCAAGGTAGTCACCCAGCACCCAAGGTCTTAGCCTCAAGGAACAAGGGATTCACACAGACCAGGCGGGCAGCAGCCTGGGACTGCAGAGACAGTGACCTTTTCACTTCCGATTGGCACTGGGAAGGAGGTCGCCAGAGGCAGAGGGAGGCTACACAGTCTTAGAATCTCAGACCAGGGTATTGAAGGTTGAACTAGGCCCTGCGGTGGGGTGGAGGGCCCATCAGAAAACACGCTCCAAAGCCCGCTAGTGCCCATCGGGAGGCCAGGAGCCAGGCTGAGCCCGCTGTGTGCCCAGCCAGGACCCGCTCTCTGGGAGAGTCGCAGCATGCCTTCCTGGAAATCGCAGAGCACGTGGTGGAGTTCATGACTGTGCTGCGAGGACCCAGATCGCCTGGGGCTTCCCTCGCCCATTGGCTGCCAGTGAGGAAACTGAGGCTGGACTCCAACGGCTTCCACCCGCAGGCATGCTAGAGCGGTCAGACGCAAGGCCCCGAGTAGGCCACGAGCCTCAGGTCCCGGGACAGCAGGCGCAGCAAATTGAAGATGATGGTGGCTTCGCGGCACTGTGGCGAGTCCTGGAAGCCGGGCGAGACAGAGGTCGGGCCTGAGTCTGGAGTGAGACACCTTCCTGACAAAGCCCCCAGCGGTCAGCCCGGGCCGTCAGCACGGTCCTCCCTGCAGTCTGACCACTCACGTCTCGGCGTGCTTTGTGGCGCCTCCGCGGTGGCCGGAGGGACTTCCTCGACCAGCCGGGCCGGACCAGCTCCAGCTAGAGGTGGGACAGGGTCAGTCAGGCACCCAAGAGCCCACCCCCCAGGGCTGCTTTCGAACCCTCAGCTCCACTCCATGGGAGGGGAGGAGGGCACGGAGTCGGTGGCATCGGGTTTTCAGCCAAGCGGGGCGGATCCGCACACCCAGCGCGTGCCACCGACAGGGGCCTGAGCCGCGGTGCCACTCACACAGGCTGTCACCTCGCGCCCCGCGGCCGCCAGCAGCTGCAGGATCTGGCCGGTCCCCGGGAGCGGCTTGGGGCGTCGCTGGCCGCTCAGCACGGACTGGGCGTCCGCGAGGTCACGTGCCACCTGGCGGAGCCCCTTGCAGGACTGCGGGGACAGGGTTGCACTTAGAGAGGGGACCGGGGTTGGGGGCTGCGACCCCCCCACCCCCTGCAGGCACCCAGAGCTCACCGCGGGCCTGGGAGGCGCCCTCCGGAGGCGGAAAGAGCAATTGCGGGGCCTCCAGCTCAGCGCCTCTTCCTCCTGCGGGATGCGCGGCGCTCAGGTGGGGCTGCACCTGACCCCTCTGCCGCCCGCGGGCCCGAGACCAGCAGCCCTGGGCCCCACCTGTAGGTCCCCGGGCTCCTGGTTCGGTGGAGTCTTCCCAAGGAGGAAGCGGGGCTTTTGGGGCCTTGGAGCAAAGGCTGTGTGTGTGTGTGTGTGTGTGTGTGTGTGTGTGTGTGTGTGTGTGTGTGTGTGTGTGTGTGTGTGTGTGTGCGCGCGCGCGCGCGCGCGCGCGCGGGTGTTCGCTCTCATGTCAGTAGTGACCTGCTCAGAATTCTGGACTCGGAGATGGGACATGCCCCTACTGGCTGCTGGGGCTGCCAGGGTCCTTTGGGACCAGGTCCTGGGGCGCGGAGGGAACCCCAGCCTCACTTACATAGCGGTCCCTCAGCTCCTTGACTGCGGCCAGCGCCGTGGGGGCCAGCGAGCGATAATGTGACAGATGGCAACGTCGGGGCTCCCCCACGCCGGGCTTGGCCACTACGCCCACCGTCACCAAGAACCACAGCCCCAGGGGCACAGTGGCTGCGACGCATGAACCCATGTCGGCTCCTGCAGGAGGTGAGAGCCCCGTCAGGAGAAGGGAGAACCGGCTTCTTCTGGTTAGACTCCAGCAGGACTAATTCGGAGAGTGCTGGTGCAGAGGGACACACAGGGTGACACTCGGACCTGCCCTACCCTGCGCATCAGCCCTTGACTCCTCACCTGCAAGACTCCCGGATGCCTCCCTCAGCCTGCCAGTTAAGCCCTCTACAGCCCAATGGATGGTGTCCGGAGCGGTGTCCTCCGTGGGCAGCCGGGCCTGGACCCTCCATGACGGCTTTTATGGGTCTAGCGGGGTGGCATTGGGGTTTCCCCTTCCCTGGTCACCTTTCCCAACGTCACTGCTGGCCAGCAGCTGCATGGGATCCCTGCCAGAGGCAGGACTTGGCCGCCTCTGGGCCTGTGCCAGGGATGGCTCTGTCCCAGGCTCTGTGGTGAGCCAGATGCCTGTCTGTCTTGGAATCTGTTTGTCTCTCTCCTTTTTGTTGCTCTGTCCCCTGCACTCTAAGAACAAATCTGCCCGTTCACTTTCTAAGCTCATCGTTTCTGCCAGGGCCTGGCCATGGTACCCATGCAAAGATCCACGCTTTTCTCTTATTCCTTCACCAGGGGCTCCGTCAGGTCATCCAACTGCTGCCCCTGCCCCTGCCTCTGAGCCAGTCTGCCTGTGGCCCGGATGGTCCTCTCCTCAGGGAAGCCGGAAGTCTCCAAAGCAGCTCCTCTCCGACGAGCTGTCTAACGGTCATGTTTTAACTGCTGTATCTCTTCTCTTTGTCCCTTTACTGTTTATAACGACATTGTTAGTTGACTGTTGGAAATGGAAAATGCAGGCACGCTTTTCTCGGCCACTGAGCATAACCACAGTGAATGTACATTGCGCACGAGCCGCCGGCCAGGGCCCATCGTCAACTCTCTGGGTGTATTTTCTGCCTGATTTTCCCAGCAACCCTGTGAGGTAGGCCCCTGCTAGGGGCTGCTCCCAGACCAGGGATGCCCAGAGAGCGCAGGAGCTCCGGCCTGCAGCTGTGCAGTGATCTGGTCACCTGCGTTGTCCACGATGCGCTGCCACCCCCCACCTATGTTGACTGCTCTGACTGATGCTAATGGTGGTTAACCAGTCACTTAGTGACACAGAGGGTTATGGTTCAAACCACAAGGTCAGCAGTTTGAAACCACCAGGCGTTTCTCAGGAGAAAGATGCGGCTTTCTGCTCCCTTAGAGAGAGCTGCACGCTCAGATACCCATCGGCAGCTCCTCCCTGCCCCACAGGGGTGCTACGAGTCGGTGTCGACTCACCAGCAGTGATTTTGGTTTGGATTTTGCCAACCGGAAGGTTAGAGGTGCCTCGGCAAAAAGTCCTGGTGCTAATTCCAAGAACTCAATGATGGAAGTCCCAGTGGAGCACAGCCCTTACTCTGACACCTGCGGGGTCACCATGAGTCAGGTGGGCTCCCGGGCAGTGGTCTGACCCTTGTCCAGGGGAGCAGAAGCATGCCCTGGGCAAGTTGGGCCACACTAACCCCCCCAAGAGCATTTCAAATGAATAGCCTCAAAGCCATGATGACCGGTAAGTAGTGATGGTTCTCAAGGACCCCTAGTGAAGGACCCATGAAGCACTCAACGGCTCTAGTAGCTTGTTGGTCCAAACACACCCAGTGGCTCCGAGGGAGAAAGGCCTGGTGATTCGCTTCAGTCAACGTTACGGCCAAGAAAAGCCTGGGGGGGCATTCTGCTTGGTGGCATGGAGTCACCAGTCCACTCAGCAGCACTGCAACAACACTGACTGCCTCACCGGATGAATGGACAGCGTGCGCTGGATGACCAGCTTGGTGCGCTGTGGGTCAACCATGGCGGTTCCAACTCTCCGTTGCTCCTGGGGAGAAAGATAAGGCTGTGGCTGTCTGCTTCTATAAAGATCCACAGTTCAGAAACCCTAGCCAGGGTCGGTAAGAGTTACAATCAACACAATGAGAGTGGGTTTTGCGTGACTAACCTTAAGGTCGGTAGTTCGAACCCACCCAGGAGCACCTTGGAAGAGAGACCTGGAACTCTGCTTCCATAAGGATTCTGAAAAACCCAAACCAGACCGGGGCCACTGAGCCCATTTGGATGCAGTGACCCTAGAGGACAGGGTAGAACAGTCCCTGTGGATTTCTGAGACTGTTACTCTTTACCAGAGTAGAGAGCTCCAGCTTTTACCCAAGGAGCAGCTGGTGGTTTCGAACTGCTGACCTTGACGTTAGCAGCCCAACATGTCACCACGACACCACCAGGGCTCCATAAAGATCACAGCCAAGAACATCCCATGCTTACGTGGAAGCACGTGCGGTCGCCGTGAGTTGGACCCCACCCAGCCGCGATGCGTTTGGATGTCTCCTTCACCTCCGGCATTATCGCTGGTGGTGGTTGGTGGAGTTGGGCTACTCACCAAAAGGTCAGTGGTTCAAGTTATCGAGCTCTGCATTTTGATTTCTAGTCTCCTAAGGGCAAGAGAGTAAATTTCTGTTTGCTAAAGTCATCTCGTGATGTTTCTGTTATGACAGGACTAGCTAAGCGAGAAATCTTTAGTTTTATGACTCATTGACTCCTCTCTTCTTCAAGCCAGCTTGAGTCGGGTTTGGGGTTATTTGTAACCAACAGCGACCTAACTGATACCCACCACGGCCTGGAAATAACACCACATGTCTTCAAAGACTGAGAAACCAGAAGTGAAATTGGGAATCACAGAAGTGTGGGTGCTGCAATCGTAGAAAACTCCCAGATACAAATGATTAGCACCCAAGGAATCATCTCTTAGCCTCACAGCCCAGGTTATTGAGTTTGAGAGGAACGCAAAGTAGATAGGTGGTTTTTGTTGTTAAGTGCCGTTGCATTATACAACAGAATAAAACATTTCCCAGTCTTGCACTGTCCTCACACTTGTTCCTGTGTTTGAGCCTGTGTGAGTCTGGGTAAACCAGGGAAACAGATCCACAGAAACTCATATGTCTAGAGAGAGCTTTATATAAAGGGGAAGTGTACATCAAGAAAGCATCCTAACCCAGTGCTGTTAGCCCATATGTCTGACACCAATCTACAGAGTCCTCCTCAATCTCACAAAATACAGTAAACCCTCGTTTATCGCGGTTAATCGGTTCTAGACCCTACTGTGATAAATGAAATTCCGCGAAGTCCTTATTTGTAAATCAAATATTTTCGTAGTTAGAGCATAGAGGACATGAAAAAACACCCTTTAGTCACCATTACACTCGTATTACCCAATTTATTAAACGAAAAAGGGAAAATACAGTAAAACATTTTGGACGTTACAATTATCATTTATTATTTATTATATTAGTTATGGCATCAAGTGTGTACAGTATGAGCCAATCAGTGGCAGTAATGACAGAGCATGCGCTGTTATGCAAAAACCGCGATAGAGTGAAGCCACGGAAGTCGAAATGCGAAGTGGCGAGGGTTCACTGTACACGCAACGATGCCGACTGCAGGAGGAAAGCCGAATCAGTGTGTAAGCATCTTAGCGCTGACAGGGGTCTCCACGCGGCTTCTCCAGCACCCAGGGCTGCATCAGGGTAGGTCCGTGTGGCTTCTCCTCAGGGATATCTTGCAGGAAGTGAGCCTTGCCAGCTGAAGCAGAGAACTGACTAAGGCAGCACACCCCAGTCCGACCATCAGAAAGCTAGAGACCCGAGAACTAGAAAGGCAAGGCTCACTGAGCCATTTATCCCTCCGCCCTTCAATGAACCCCACATGTGCTTATTGGGCAGGTTGGCACCATAAGCCTTAACTATCTCAGAGGCCCTTGTTGCAACCACTGTGTCGATCCATCTCATTTAGGGCCTTCCTCTTCCCAACTGCCCCTCGACTTTACAAAGCAGGATACCCTTTTCCATGGACTAGTCGCTCGGCTGCTATGTCCGACGTGGGTAAGAAGTGAGGCCATCCTCGCCTGTCAGGAGCATAGTGGTTTGTCTGTCTGGCAGGCCGTGGTCCTTTCCATGATCTTCTTCAGCACCATGGTCCAGGTGCAGCGAATGCAGGCACACCCTGGATTCACGTGGAGTGGAAGCGGCCGTCACGACATCCTGCGATGTACGGTGCCGGGAAGACCTGCTGCCAAAGCCCTTTGCACAGTGTTAAAGAACCAAGGTGCTCCTGACCCTCGCCATGACCTTGTCGTGGCCTCAGATGCACTTGAAAGCCGGACGATGAACAAGGTCGGCCAGAGAAGGAGCGATGACCCTGAATCAGGGTGTTTGTGAAGAGTAGTGAAAGCACCGTGGGCTTGTGTGGGGGTGGGGAGGCTTCAAGGGGAATGCATCTTTATCTTCACTAACCTCTAACTGAAATGTCACACTTCTTTCCATCATGATGGTAACAAGCCGCAGCAGTGCTAACAGAAACCACGATGAAGCCACACACACACACACACATACACAGTCACAGATGTTTTCTGCACGTGGCAGATGCACAGATCTTGAAATACAATTTATGCTTCTCCCCCCAAACCTATTGCTGTTGAGTTGGTCCTGACCCATTGCTACCCTCCATAGGGTTTCCAAGGCTGTACATCCCTACAGGAGGAGACAGCCTCATCGTTCTCCTAAGGAGCAGCTGGTGGATTTGAACCACTAACCTTGCATGTAGTAGCCCAACACTTACCCAACAGCACCACCAGGACTCCCTACGCTATGCTCCTTACTACTCCAAAGGAGCCCTCGTGGCATCATCAGTTAGGCTTTGGGCCTGCTAACTGCAAGGTCACTGGTCACTGGTTCAAACACCCACCCACCCCTACCCCCCCACCAGCTGCTCTGCTGGGGACAGATGCGGTTTTCTACTCCCATACAGAGTTCATCTCAGAAACCCACAGGGGCAAGTCTACTCTGTCCTACAGGGTTTCGGTGAGATAGAAAGGACAGAGTGGCAGCGAGGGAGGGCGGGTGGTGCGAGCTTTCTGCCTCTCTGGTTTTCCCTGCTGAAGAGAAACTGCTCAACGGACATGTCTAATCGGCCAGAGCCTCCGCTCACCCCTGAGCTCAGGATGGCCACTAGTTACGAGCAAGCCCCAGCTGCTGCTAAGGCACATTCAGCTGCACCCTCCTTCTCTGAAGTCAAAGCAGTCACACACACACACACACACACACACACACACACACACACACGCCTGCTCTGTAAGCTAAAGACTTAGTCACTTTGCAAATAAAATCCCTTGGGGTGGGGGAGGGTGGGGAACTGAAAACCCAAACCCTGATAAAAGTCATTGTTCACATAAAATAAAATGTGGAAGCATCCTAGCCTTCCGTTGGTAATTGCATTCTGGGCACCCTAGGGAAATCCTGGGCAGCACAGGCGGAGGAGGAGGCGGCATCAAGATAGGCACGGCCGAGAGACGGCTCATCGCCGTGCTGACCCGCGTGGGACAGGAGAGTTCTTCGTGGCGGGCCTGCCCTGTGCCTTGAAGCAGGTCCGCTGCTCCTATGGCTCCTACTCCTCAGATGTCAGGAGCAATCTCTCCTCCCCTCGCTGCCACAGCCCTGGCTCATTGTCAACATCTTCTGGGAGTCAAATCTGTTCCCCCATGGAAATTACAGACCCCTTGATTGCGCTCAAGGATCCAGAGGCAGTTGTGCAAACGGAACAAGGGGATGCCGCATGGTTTAAACTCGGGAAAGGTGTGTGTCAGGGTTGCATCTTCTCACCATACTCGTTCAATTGTATGCTGAGCAATCAGAGAAGCTGAACTCTATGAAGAAGAAGGTGGCATCCGGCGCGGGGGAAGCTTACTCACCACCCGCGATATGCGGATGACACGACCTTGCTGGTTGAAAGCGAGGAGGACTTGCTACACTTGCTGAAGAAGATCAAAGATCACAGCCTTCAGCGGGGATCACGGCTGAGTGTAAAGAAAACCCAAACCCTCCTGACTAGACCGACAGGTAACAAGATGATCCATTGGGGAAAGGTTGAAGTTGTCCAGAATTTTGTCTGGTTTGGAGCCGCAATCGATGCTCATTGAAGCAGCAGTCAAGAGATCACAAGATGGATTACGTAAGGTAAGGCTGCTGCACAAACCTCTTTAGTTTATTGAAAAGCAAAGATCTTGTTACTTTAGGACTAAGGTGTGCCTGACCCAAGCCATGGCATTTTAAGTTGCCTCTTATTAAATTGCATATGCATGTGGAAGTTGGACATTTAATGGACAGTTAATGCATTTGATTTGTGATGCTGGCGAAGACTATTGAAAGTACCCAGGACTGCTAAAAGGACAAACCTATTTATCTCGAAAGAAGCCTAGTCCGAGTAGTGCTCCTTAGAGGCAAAGATGGCGAGACGCTATCAGGCGAGACCAGTCCCTGGAGAAAGACATTACGTTTGGTAAAGTGGAGGGGCAGCAAAAAAAGAGGAGGACCCTCAAAGAGGTGGGTTGACACCATGGTGGCAACATGGCCTGGGAACTACTGTGAGGCTGGCGCAAGGCTGGGCAGGGTTTCAATCCGTTGTGCCCAGAGAGGGTCGCTATGAGTCAGAACCCACCCAGTGTTCCCTAAGAACAACATCTCTCAGTCCGAGTGGACTAGAGAAACAAATCCATAGAAACTCATATGTCTATGAGACAGTTTTATTTATTTTTATTTTTAAAATCATTTTAATAGGGGCTCATACAACTCTTATCACAATCCATACACACATCAATTGTGTCAAGCACATTTGTACATCCATTGCCCTCATCATTCTCAAAAAATTTGCTCTCCACTTAAGCCCCTGGCATCAGGTCCTCATTTTTGCCCCTTCCCTCCCCGCTTCTCCCTCCTTCATGAACCCTTAATAATTTCTAAATTATTATTT